TTGATGCTTTTTCATTGGGAGGTTTTATACTGCTGTTTCAATTTCCTTATTTATTATGGGTCTGTCTAAGATACTGATCTCTTCTTAAATTTTGTGGTTTCTGTGAATTTAGAAATTCAAAATTTCTTTTAGACTTTCAAATTTAATAGAGTGTAGAAGTGTAGTATTCTCTTACAATGTTCTGGATTTTTTGGTGTCTGTTGTTCTGTTTCCCCTTTCATCTCTGCTTTTGTCAATTTGGATTTGCTCTTTATTTCTTTTTATTAATTAGGATAAGAGTCTATCTATCTTGTTTAGCTTTTCAAAGAACCAGCTTTTAGTTTCCAGTTGTCCTGTTTATTGAAGATAGTGGGGTATTAAAGATACCTATTATTATTGAGTTGGGATTAGTCCCCGTTTTATAGTCTTTGAATACTGATTTTATGAATTTGGGTGCTCCAGAGTTTGGTGCATATCTATTCATGATTGTAATATCTTCTTGGTCAATTGTTCCCTTGATTAAAGTGAAGTAACCTCTTTATCTATTATGATTAGCTTTAGTTCAAAGTCTATTTTTTCAGATATTAGAATAGCGACATCTGCTTGCTTCTTAGTGCCATTTTCTTGGAATATTTTTTTCCATCCTTTTACCCCCAAGGTAGTGCCTATCCTTGATGATGAGATGAGTTTCTTGAAGACAACAAAATGATGGATTTTATTTCTTAATCTATTCCACTAGCCTGTATCTTTTGATTCGGGAGTTGAGACCAGTTGAGATATTTAGAGTTATTATTGAAAGATGTGTATTGGTTTACTGCCATTTTAATTTGTTTGTGTTCTTGGCCCTATTTTGTGTTTCTGTAATTATGCCTTCCATTGTTTTCTTTCTGGAACCTCTTGAGTAGAGTCATTCTTATCTTCAGTCCTTTGTATTGCTTCAAGTATTCTCTGTAGGGCTGTTTTGTTGGACATGGAATCTTTCAGCCTATTCATGCCATGGAAATTTTTCCATTCCCCTTCAACTATGATAGATAGTTTTGTTGGGTAACATATTCTGAGTTGGCAACCATGGTCATTTAGGACTGGTAATACTTTGGTTCAGGTTTTTCTGCCTTTGACAGTTTGCACTGAAAAGTCAGCTGTAAACCAGACACGGTAGTGCATTCCTTTAATCCCAGCACCGGGGAGGCAGAGTTTAAGCCAGCCTGGGGCTACAAGGAGACCCTGTCGAAAAAAACAAAACAACAAAAAAAAAGTCAGCTGTAATTCTGATGGGTTTTCCTGTTTGCTTTTCTCTAATATCTTTCAGTGCCCTCTCTTTTTTTCTGTACATTTAGTGTTTTTACTGTGATATGCCACAGGGAATTTCTGTTCTGGTTCTACCTAATTAGTGTCTTATGTGCTTCTTGTATCTGTATAGGTACGTCTTTTCTTAATTTGGGGACGTTTTCTTCCATAATCCTCTTGAGGATCTGGTCAATGGATTGACCTGAGATTTTTCTCCTTCCTGTATGCCTGTGATGTGCAGATTTGTTCTTTTCATGGTGTCCCGCATTTCTCACATATTCCATTCTTATGGTTTTAAATTTTTTTTTACATAGTCTTTGTTTGATGAGTCCAGTTCTTCAACGTTGTTGTCCAGTCTTGACATTCTATTTTCCATTTCATTCATTCCAATGGTGAGACTTTCTGCTGTCATTTCAAATTGGCTTATTGAGTTTTTCAACTCTACCTTCATTTCAGCTTGGGTTTTCTTCAATATTTGCATCTCTTTTGTGAATTCACTTTTCAAGCCCTGAATTGTCTTTGTTATTTAATTCAGCTGTATATTTATGTTTTCTTGAGCTTCCATCTTAAGTTTATGCCTGTCCTCTTTGAATTTGTTGTTTTTCTGCATTTTCTTTAAGTTCTTTGATCATGTTTATGATTGTTCTTTTAAATTCTGCATTGTGCGGTTCCTCTTGGTAATTCTCATTGTAGTACATGTCTATAAGGCTGGTGGGTTTTGTTCAGGACATACTCTCTTGGTTATTCATATTATTTGTATTTTTCATTGCTCTTTGGGCATATGGATGTCTTCTGTTGGTTGTGTGTCTGATAGGAAATTCTATTCTGTCTTTGGTTTGTTTATATTGTTGACATAACTTGGTTGTTTTTTGCTCAGGTATGAAAAGTTAGTTGGTGTGTGCTTCAGGTTCTCACAGGGCAGTAGGTTGGTCTGGATAGTAGCAGGTTGGTGGCATGCAAGACAGGGGTGGAAAGAGCCTGTAGAGGCTAACAAAAATAGTTGGAGACTTGAGCTAGTCTGGATGCAGGGAATCCAGATGCAGTGGACAGATCTGGACTAAGAGGGTAGTCCAGAGATGGGGGCAGAAAAAACAAGAGTGGGCCTAGGCACAAGGCTAGAAAGTGGACAGTTTGGGGAGAGATTGGAGCTGCTCAGGGTGCAGGGAAATCAAGGCACAGTGGGCGGGATCTGACTTACAAGGATAGTAGGCAGATCAGGAGGCGAAGGGCAAGGTGGGCATGTGGCGGGTCTCACAAACTAAACTGGAGGATTGAGTTAGTCTAGGTTAGGAAGCTAGTCCAGACATCAAGGGGGGAAAACAGGAGGGGGAAGAAAGGAGTGGGCCTGGGCTCAAGGCTAGAGTGGGACACCAGTTTAATTTTCAAGCTTAAAACCCACACAGGTAATGAGTGACCAACCTACTATGTAATTAGCTTCTTATGTTACTTAGGGGAAGTTAATTTCTTATTTATGCTATATTTGTAATTCCACATTCTTGAATGTACAAAAGAAATTGTTTCTATATTTTTCCAGTTTCCTGTTCTTAGCAATACAAAAGAGTTATTACCTCATAGAAAACACACTGAGAGTCTGCTTTAAAATGTTCTAGAAAATGTTGTTTTAGCAGTGTGCTGACAGTATAGCTTTGAGAGCCATGCCATTCACTGGCAGTTTAAAATAATGACCACCACTGATTTAATTTTCAAAAGCAGTTGTCAACTTTGCTTCAGATGGAGTGCGCTTAGGTCCAGGTATCTTTGTCTATAGTCAAAATCTGAACCATTGAAACATTTCCATCAAAACCTTTTCCAGAGTAAAAATAATTTAGTAAAAGTAAGTTCGATGGGTTCCGATTATCAAAGCATTCACTGCTATTTGTCAGAAACCTTGGTTAATTAAAAGGCTAAACTTACCTCTGTTAGCCATCAGATTACTCTCTCCTGGTCTTGTTCAATGATACCTCAGTTCATCTTCATAATCATGCTCGTGTGACTGATGCTGCTGACCCTCTTACAAAATGACTTAATTAAGGCCAAGCAATGACACAGTTGCTGATAGTTCTTACTTGCTGACAGATCCGGGATCAAAAGTACACACAGGAAGCAAATGAATGAAAACAAATCATCACTGCATGTATATATGAAGATGCAAAAAGGTCCCAAACAAACACACAAAATGTACATTGGTCTGACCAGCACTACAGTGCGAACTTCTTACTCTCAGTACATCCTCACTCGCTGGTTTCTACATAAGGAGAGTTGATTCCTTCATCACAAATCTCACTCTAGATATTAATTGAAACAGTTAATTAATTGAATTAGTTGTGGAATTACCTACTTCTCCAAATTTCTTTGTAAATTCTAGATCACCACTCAGTATTTTCATGGTCCTTCATAGGCATGTAGACAGTAGTGGAAATTGGAGTCTCCTAAGCTCACTAACAGGGTCCATTCTGCCTTCTTGTTTCAGCTCTCACACTGTAATGCCAGTAAGTGTTTTCTCCATCTACCCAGAGTTTTCTACACTTCCCTTCTCTTTTCCTCCCTCCCTCTCTTTCTCTTTCTTTCCTCCCTCCCTCCCTCCTCCCTCCCTCCCTCCTTTCTCTCTTTCCCTTTCTTTCTTTCTTTCTCTCTCTCTTTCTTTCCTTTCCTTCTTTCTTTCTTTCTTTCTTTCTTTCTTTCTTTCTTTCTTTCTTTCTTTCTTTCTTTCTTTCTTTCTTTCTTTCTTTCTCTTTCTTCTGTTGGCGATTTGCTCTTTAAAATGGTTCCTGAGTGTAGTGATGGAGTAGTGCCATGTTCCAAAGCTCTTGAAGGTTCTGAAATACTTTGCCAAGAAAATAAGTGTGCTATCTTGATTCAGGCCTGAGTCATACTGTTGTTGATCATGAATTCAGTTCTGAAGAGTTAACAATAATATTAAATAAGGTATCTTGCAACAGAAAAACTCATTAAATAAAATTATGTAATTAGCAGTTTATGAGAGTGGGGTGACTAGACATTTGCAGAAGCTTGATCTTGTGTTTCCTGTAGGAGCAATGGTTTAGTGTCTGCTAATTTATAGTTTGCAGATTATTTATTCAATTTAACCATGAAAAGCAAAAATCAAAACTGTGTAGTTTCACTGTCTTTTGTAATGGTTTAATTACAGAAGTGGATTTCTTGCTTTCAAAATAAAATTTCATCATGTTGCAATTTTACTGGCTCTTCAAGCCCTTTCTTTCAGGGATTAGCCCATTTTCTATAAATTGCTATATGAAGTCCTCTTTGCTGCTATAAAAAATTACCACAGACTTAGTGGCTTACACACACCATTGCATTGATTTATAGTCTGGAGGTCAGAAATACAAAACAGGTTTTACTGAACTAACAAGGGTGTTGTCGAGATTGCTTTCCTTCTGGATGCTCTGGGCAAGAATTCTGGCCTCACGTTGTCCAGGTTCATGGGTAAAAGTCCCACCTCCCTCCAACCTCTGCTTCCGTTAGTGCATATTCCCTAAGTCTCACATTTCACAGTTCCATGTATAAGGACATTTGTAATTGAGGTCCCCCCTTCTAACTCTCTAAATTATTTGTCTGCCAGTACAGCCTCACGTAGGTCTATTACCACTGTGAAGTAAAAGGCACTCTCCTCATGCTGCAAAAACTGATGATTAAATATGACCTCGAGGCAGCTCGGTGCTCATCTCTCCGTGATGATCTCCTCTGCTCTCTTACTTCTTTATTTCCATTTCTAGTCCCCAGAGCCAAGTGAATCCATCTGTATGCCCAGAGAAGAATTCATGCAGAAGATGACAGAGACGGTTGGTTGGGGCACAAAGGAAGAATATGGGGAGCTCTTTGACAAGGTGGATGTGGCCCAGGATGGCTTCATTGATTGGGACAAGCTGACTTCATTTATACTGTTATCGCTTTATGAAAGAGATGAACGAACAAAGGCAATGGAGGTTCCTCAGTGGAAGGACCTTGAATTCCTCCCAGGAAAACACAGGGACACCATTCAGAAAGTAGTTTTCTTAAAAAGTTCACGTCGTTACCTGACCATCAGTAAAGAAGGCTTACTAGGAGTCTGGGGAGAGAATTTAAAGTTGCAAGAAGCACTTCCCATCACTTCAGATGCCACCAGGCTCAAGCACCTGTGGGTGACAAGCCTGGTTTCTCTGGAAAATGTAAACAAGGTATGCAATCTCTATTGCTTATAGCTTGTGAAAAAGAGGAGAAAATGACGGGGCAGGGCTCCTGGTCAGCACCACGTTTAGCACCTGCAGTGGCAGAGAGCTACAGTCATCTCTTGGTGCCTCTATTTCACCTGGAGGGAACACAAGCAGAGCCAAAGGAACTTCTTGCTTTCCCACATGCATCACTGATAATAACCCCGACTCTTGGCTTTTCCCAAATGTGGCCATGCTGCATTGTTAGCTAAGACCTTTGTTCCCTTGTAGCTCACAGCAGGATCATGGGTTCATACCAGAGTGGCCAGGCTATTATAAAGCCTGGAACAGTTTAATGCATTTAACGGGAACTGCTTATCTGATTTTGATCACTCTGCTAATCAGTTTATAATTCTCATAGATAGAGTGCACATAGTACAGATATCTTCTGCTAGCTATACTCATGACCACGATAACAAATTATGATGAAAATAACTGCAGAAGAGGTTGGAGTTTACATAATCTATATTTTTAATGTTTTAGATTAAACAGATGGTCAGTTTTACTAGGGACAATTTCAAAGGCATACATAGATAGAGAGAAAATAGTATTACTTAACTGTCAAACCCTGGGTCCAACTAATAATTATTTTAAATTCAAAGCTGAACTTGTTTTCTCTGTTTCTCCATTAAAATGAAAAGCACTACATCATTTCATTTGTAAATATTTCTGCATTCATTTAAAAATATTTTATTTATTAATTTTTAAAATATTATTCTATGTGTATGTGTGTATTGCCTTCATGTAGGTAAGTGCACCCATGTAGTGCAATGCCCACGGAGGACAGAAGAGACTATCAGATCCCCTGGAACTCATGTTATGGACAGTTGTTAGGTGCCATGTGGGTGCTGGGATTTGAACCCGGGTCTTCTGCAAGAACGGTGAATGTTCTTAGCTGCTGAGCCATCTCTCCAGCCTCAATATTTCTGTATTCTAAAGGATATATTTTAGCATAAGCAAAAATGCTATTATATTTTCTTTCAATAATAATAATAATTCCTTAATATCATCAACTATGTAGTAGTACATTCTAGCTTGATTGTCTTACAATTTACAAACTTATTTTTTTGATAACACCTCACTGATGTCTACACATTGAGTAGTGATGGTGATGTCATTTTTGTTTTGTTTTGTGCTGCTAGGGATAGAACTCAGGGCCTTACACATACTAAGCAGGTGCTCTACCACTGAACTATACCCCACCTTGATAGATTGCTTTTGATCTGTAGGTTTTTGTCTTTTTCTTCTCTTCCTTGCATTTTTTGATTGTTGCAGTTGATTTTTTTTTTTTTTTGAGACAGGGTCTCCCTGTAGCCCCACCTGTCCTGGAACTCACTATGTAGACCAGGCTCACCTTGAACTTACAGAGATCTGCCTGTCTCTGACCTCCTGAGTGCTGGTACTAAAGGCGTGCGCTACCATGCTGGGCCCAGTTGATATTTTTAGCAAAGAGACTTCGTGTTTGTCTTTTCAAGTTTCCTGTGTCTGCATGCTGCAGATTGTATGGACATGGCTTGTTCTGCTTATATGTCCAATGACTTGGTACTCAAGACTGATGTCTTGGGCAGTTTCAGATTTGTTTGTTTATTTGGAATAGGCAGTTACATTTTCTTTAATCAAGGGCATGATTTCGCATGCACTTGGGAGGCAGAGGCAGGAGGATCTTTGTGAGTTCGAGGCCAGCCTGGTCTACATAGTGAGTTCCAGGACTGCTGGGGCTACAAGGAGACCCTGTCTCAAAAAGACAAAAAAAAAAGACTATAAAATAGCTGATTTTATTTTGCTGTGAGATATTAGCAGTTATTGCCTATTATTTGGTGATCCACTTGCTTATTGGAGATTATCAAGTGACATTGTAACTTCATCATTTTATCTCTATTTATAATCTGGGGTACTGTTTGTTTCCTGTGGGATATGTTCTGTTCCAGTTCCCACTGGAAAACCATGAAACACAATTTATTCCCACCTTAAACATCGAAATAAGTTGTGTAATTCTCCCAGGTCACATAAGACATTACTAGTGTTGCTAAGATTTGTAAACTGAGGCAGCCAGTCTTTACAGACTGCTCTAGTCTTTACTGCCTGAACTATAGCTGCTGACACTGTGTCCAGGAGCTTCTTGCTGGTGCTAAGGCTTAAGATCGTTAAAAGAGACTTTCAGTTCCAATTATGTTTATCTTCATTTGTCCTCTCACCATCATGAGACATTTGTTCTGTAATGTTAAATTTTTAGGATTGATAACTAAACCTTATTATTCACACTTATTATGCATAGAATATTAAAGAACACATACACATACACACAAATACTTAAACTGTGTCAAGTGATATATCTTTTTTAATCTGTTGCAAATTTCTTACAATATATCTTGATCATATTTAGAGCCCTTCCTCATTTGCATCCCTCTTAAAGCCTCTCCATGCACCTGAGCAAAGTCAACAGTATGACAAAGATAATGAATATTTTCATCATTTGCAAAAATTTCCTTATAGTCTTAGTAACTTTTCCCTCAATTCTTTATTGTCAGACGATCCTTGATGTGCTGTCACTATATGTTGGCTTGCACTTTCTAAAGACATTTATTTAGCATTATGCTGTGTGTATGCCCTTTCTATCTAGATTTTAACGATTGCCATAATTATTTTGAAGTCCATCATGTTGTCTGGTGGCATTAGTAGTTTATTTCTTATTGCTGCCTAGTATTCCAACACATGGATGTAGCCCACAGTCCCCAATGCTTGATATGATCAGGTATGACTTTCTCTTAATTTTACCCACTTAAAAGGTTTGTTTGAGCATCTTACTGTGAATTTAAGTATATAACCTCATAACTAATAAGGTTCAACTTATTTTCATGTGTTGATTTGTGATAGTTATCTGTTTTCCTTGGTAAAGTCTGTTCAAATGTTTCTCCAGCTTTTGTTGGATTTTTTCCGATTATAGTTAGTTTCTAGAGTTCTTTGTATATTCTGGGTATATAGATAAAGATGGATATTTCACAAATACTGCATATAGAACTGTGCTTGTCTTTTCCTTCTCCTGCCTTTGGTAATTACAGTTTTAGGTTGCTAATTGTATGAAAATACAATAGACTGAAAAAAAAATATGGACTAAACTTGTTTAATTTTTTATATTTTTTCTGACTGCTTTAGGGTTTTCTGTATGTAACGTCATGTCTTCTAACAACAGATTAAGTTTAGCTTTTTCCTTTCCAATTTGGATACTATTTATTTTTCTTGTAAAATTTTCATGGCTAGAGATTCTGCTACTGTGCTGAGTAGAACTGGTAAGAGGCTGCATCTTCATCTTACTTCCAAGTTCATTGACACTGCATTGAGTTTTCCACCATCAAGTGTGACATCAGTTGTTCAGGTGTTTTGTTTTGTTCTGTTTTGAATTTGCACATTCTCTTTATCAGGGAGTTCCCTTCTATTCCTGGTGAAAATTATTACTATGAAAATATATTGGATATTTTCAAAAGATGTTGTGTTTACTGAGATGATAATAAGATAATAAGATTATTGTGGTTTATTAATAAGTATAGTGCATTTCATTGATTGAATCTTTTCATTACTGAGATAAATTTCACTTGGTCATAATGTGTATTCTTTTACATTTCTTTACATGTTACTAGAGTCTTTTTACATCGATATTCATAAGAGATATTGGTCCAGTTTCTGTATGCATGCGTGCATACAGACTGGCCTGGAAGACACTAAATATTCTACTCTGGCTTCTAATGCATGACAATTCTCCTGCCTTATCTAACCTCCTAAATGCTGAGATTATAGCATGAGCCACCACTTCCACATTTTATGTACCTTTTTCTTATGTGATTGACATCGTCATAAGATGTCTACATTCCTAGAAATGGAGGATGATGGTGAGTGTAGCAGTGAAATAAGAAAGAAAGGGCGTTCAGTGCCTGATTTGAAAATCAGATTTGCATGCCTGCTTTGTATATTGATTTCACTAAATTCATCATAAATATCCTTTGGTTTTCTACTTGGGTACTTTAGATAGCAGTGGCTTTTACAAGCAAAGAAATTTGTTTCTATGATCTGCTGTCCAAAGAAGAATTCCCTTGTCAATACAAACTTCAAGGCCTAAAAGGAACACCAATCTGCATGGATTATTGGTATGATCCTCTTGATGCCAAAGAATCGATTCTTTCATTTGGGGATATAACTGGAAAGGTAAGTGAGGGAAGGATAGCCTTGAACACTATGGATTTAATCGTCTTTCTGAAGTTCAAAGAAGAAATTAAAGTGCCAGGAGCCTGTCCTTCTGCGCTGTAGATTATAAGGCTATACACAGGGGACATGGGAGAGATGGATAGCGCTACAATTCCTCTTTTTACTTACAAAACCCAAAACTACATTGTACTTTCCTGGTCTTTGTGTAGTTACACATTTTTTCTCATAGAAAAGAATCTTACTAACTTCACATTATAAAATGCTTAATCCATTGGATCCCAATATTAATAAGTATTTAACATTAAATGTTTGAGCTTATTTCCCATGAGTCCTTCACATTAATTGTTCTGATTTTTCTTCATAAGGCTTTGGAATGCTCACTGTCAGCCAGGTAGGGACAGCTCATTTCCTGTATCACCTAACAACAGGTGGCAACATTGATCCTTTGACATTGGATACAGCCCTTTCTCTTCCTATCTAATTGTACCTCACATGAGAAAAATAATTTCTTACTCAATGACACTGGAGTGTGTCAGAGACTGAAAAGTCTTGAACAATCAGTTTCCTTTCATGATCTTGAGAGGTTTCCATTCTTACTATTTTTTGACAGCAAGTCTATCTTTGAATGATAAATTGTACTTGGCAACAGTTTTGCCAGTTGTAGTGGCTCTTTTTACTATCACTGTTTGCATTCTTTAAATAATAACAGTGGAGTAATCCTTCCTAGTTCATTATCTATCTATCTATTTATTTATTTAGCAAGCTCTCACTATGTAGTCCTGTTTGGCCTAGAACTTTCTATGTAGAACCGGATGGCCTCAAATGCACAAAGATCTGACTACCTCTGTCTCTGGAGTGCTGGGATTAAAGGTCTGGGTCAACATGCCTGGTCCATTCCTTCTTAATCTTTTTTTTTTTTTTTGTCTTTTTGAGACAGGGTCTCCCTGTAGCCCCAGCTGTCCTGGAGCTCACTATGTAGACAAAGTTGGCTTCGAACTCACAAAGATCCCCCTGCCTCTGCTTCCCAAGTGCTGGGATTAAAGGCGTGTTCCACCGCGCCCGGCTTCCTTCTTAATCTTTTAAAAAACTGTTCTTTGGATCTTTTTATTTTTATTTTATGTGTATTTGTGAATGCCCAAGTGGATGCAATGTCCAGAGAGCAATGTCCATAGAGGGTGTTAGATCCCTGGAGCTAGACTGTTGTTATGTGCCATTGTGGGTGCTGGGAACCAAACCCAGGTCCTCTGGAAGATCAGCCAGTGCTCCTAACTCCTGAGCCACCTCTCCAAGCCTTCTTTCTTAAACTTAAAAGGATCCAAGCTCTTATAAAGCACTTACCCTGCCTATGTTTGCTTTCTTTCAATGTCTCAAGGTTCAAGGAATTGTTTTCACAGCAGCCTTGATTTCCCTTTTTGAGCGGCCTGCTAGTTCATGTGATGATGAAGATGCCACCATGACCATTGACTGGACAGAGCTGCTCTCTGGAGGTCACAAATGCTGCCACGTGTTAGAGCACAAGTTTCACCATGGAGACTGGGTCAGGCAAGGTACTGAATTTGAACAGTAAGGAAGGGAAACATTCACATTTGACATCTACATTTATATTCTTTGCTGAAAATGGTTCACACAGAATGTTTAAGTCTAGAAACCAAAAACTGATCCTCTGGAGGTTTTGATCTTGGCTCTATAACCCATGAATGCTGACAGGAATCACTTCTCTCTTTCTGAAATTTATGTTTCACTTAATTAATTCAGGTGAACTGTGAACTTCAGAAATCTCAAGAGAAGGAATACAATTGTCATAGAATCCATCAGCTTCAACCCCATTCTGATCTAACCTGTCTTGCTCGGTCACATTTTGCTTAATATTATTTTATTAAAAATAAATTCTCTCAAAATTAAATTCTCTCAAAATTACTCCTTTGTTGTGTTTGTGTTCTTACTGGAAGTTCATTAGTTTGGCTGTCTTCAAAATAGAATTTTCATCTTTTCCTTTCTTTCTTTTCTGTCTTTAATTTTATTGAAAATTTGGTTTTATGTTTTAAATCACTAATTTTTATTGCTTTCTATTTTATATACACATAAATTTAAAATTTTTTCATTAAAATATTTTTATAAGACAAGTCACTTTATATACATTAAATTTCTTTTTTAAAATTTTAATCTTTCCTTTGTTCTTTTGAGACACTTTTGTTATGTAGCTCTGGGTGGCCTTGAATGTATGATTTTTCTGCCTCTGCCTCCCTCCCTCCCTCCCCTCCTCTTGGGTTTCAAATGAATTCTCTAATATGTGCCCCCGAATCATATCCTGTACATTCAGAGTTTTTCTTCAGTATAAGTGTAAATTATATCATATCTTTGGCACATTTTATCCATCCTTTGATTTCGGCAGGCTATTAATTGAGGGAAAAAATGTTGGTGTTTTCTGATCTTCTGCTGATTGTGACAGCTCCAAAAATTATGTGTTAAATTTCTGTAACACTAAAATAAGGACTGAAGTACTGGAAATGAATGGAAGGGAACCTTTGTACCTGCTTCCGAAATAAGTGTTATATGTACACATATAACTGAAAGACTGAATTTTAATAACAAACAATAGCTGTCTGTAAGATCTTTCGTGCCACTGAGATGGCTCATGGGTAAAGGTGCTTGCTGTAGAGTATGTACACATACACATATGCACACACTACCGTAGTACATGCATACACACGTGCACACATTGCTGTAGCATGTGTAAATGTATACACACACATACACTGCTGTAGCACATGTGTACATGCACATACATGCAGACACCCAAACAAATATAATAAAAAATCTTCCCTTTTTGCAATTTCTAGGTTTAGAACTCAATTGCCTGTGTGAATTGTTTCACTCGACCAGTGAAAAAGGTTCTGTTCTGAGATTTAGCAACAGAGGTTAGGCTTTTTAAAATTTTTTCATCTGTTTTGAGACAGTGTCTCCCTGTAGCCCCAGCTGGCCTGGAACTCACTATGCAGATCAGGGTGGCCTCAGCCTTACACATATCTGCCTGCCTCTGCCTCCTGAATGAATGCTGGGATTAAAGGCTGAGATTAGGCATTTAAATATGACTTTCTGTTGTTATTTGAAGCTCAGCTATTCTAGTGTGAGAAGGGGTAGGATGATACAAAGATAGGAAAATGGAAGGTGGAACCAAATGTAGATCACGGACTGTGCTCATCGCTTTCCAAGACTCCCTCTGCCAGGAGGAAGCAAACGAGGGCTGCTTTAATCCATATTCTTTACCCCAGAACTGATATTCCCAAATCCTTTAAAAATATATTTGGCCATTTTTCTTTTCAGTGTAAGGAGAGAGCATACAAATGCAGAAAGAAACACTTGAGCAAGTAGGGAAATACATTTGAGTAAAACTAAGGATAAAATGTCTGCTGTATTGAAATGTCAAGGAAAAACTCAGTTTCAGACATAAATGTGTTAGCATGTTGCTTTAAGATAAGGCTCAGACTTATTTAAAACACTGAAGGAGAAAATGTTTTCATCTTATCTGAGTGCTTCTGTGTCATAGTTTAATAAGAAAATAATTATATTTTAAAATGATTGCAAAATAAGTGTAGAGACTTTGGACAGTAGCAGTGAGATATACATGCCCCGGTTCTCAGAGAATTTCCTTTTTCATAACTGTCTTCTATATAGGGCATATCCTCAGAAGCTGCTCTCCGGGAGGATAGTGGTTAAAGGATGAACATGAGCAGGTCTGGTGGTGTGCACCTGTAATCCTAGAAAATTCAGTTTTCCAAAGGAACCCTGTTAAGTTCGAGGCTAGCCTGAGCTACAGAAAAACTTCAAGTTCATCCCAAGGTACAGAGCAAGACCCTGTCTCAAAAAACAAAACAAAACAAAAAACAAGTGCTGGGGATGTAGCTCAGTGGTAGAGTTCTTCCCTGACCTGTGTAAGGTAGAGAATGGAATGAGTAGCTGCCTTTCCTGCCAGGTGTCTCGCTGTGGTTAAAGCAGTAGAAATCAGCTGTGAGCTGGTGGTCTGGGTTTGAAGGAAGGACTTTCTCCTGAAGCTTCCTGCAGCCTTTGGAAGAATAGGGTGCATTTGAATCAAGCAGGTACTTACTTCTACTTGGCATTCTGGAAATCACTAAAATTAGTTGCATTCTCATTTAAGATATACTTAGCAGTCTAGATTTTGTTTTTTAAACGTATTTTGATTTTTAAAACTGAAATTGCTCTATTATCCCTTATCTTTCCTTTTTGACATGGTTGTGGCTCAAAGTAAACACAGACAGCCCTGTGGAGGACTTGGGGAATGGGACTCCAATGTATGAAATGAAACTGAAAATAAAGTCCCTTCAACAGCAAACATTCTAAAAAGTTCAGAATATGGTGTTGCGCTTAGTTGCATGATTCATAAAGTGAAGATTGAAGCTGAAAAGAAATCCCAGTTAGCAATGACCCTGTTTTCAACCCCAGTTCAGGGTCTGTTCCAGTAGAGACCGGCCAATTCTGTGTTATTTAAGTGCACTTAATAGCATTACTTCATTTTTGGGTATCATTTCTCATTTTCAAACCTCTTTCCCATATTAGCTAATAGCTACTATGCAGAGTCCTTCTGACAGTGTGATGAAGGGCAAAGATCCATGGCAGCCCCTTTAATGCCCCTTTAATGCTTTTTAAAATGCTTATGTATCAAAAAAGTGGAAGTGTTGGAAGTTATCATCCTACTGGACCAGTATGTCAAGGTCTCTTTTATTCATCTTAAAATGATGCATAAAATTAATTTATAAATACCTCTTCTAATCCTTGAACTCATTGGGAGTATTAAAAACAAATAATTTTTCCATCTTATCTCATTGCATAGCTTGATATTTTAGAGAGTTTTCTAACATGGCATATCATTTCCTTACCTCAATTGAAGAAGCAAGGGCAACATTTTTATTTATCAGATAATTTGATTTTGAAGAAATGGCTCTTCTCTCACCTTTTACACATGCATCCTCAGGAGTGCTGGCATTCCAGAATTTAATCAGAAACAAGCTGTATCTTGGTTTAGACACAAGGTGTGAATTGTTGATCCTCCAATATGTAACCCTGAAGACCTATAAATACCCTGGGTAAGCTGCACTTTCAAATCTCAGAGCAATAATTTGAACACCAGAGCAGAAGGCATTTCTCTGTGTGTCTTATGCAGCTTCCAAGCCAAGAACTACAGTTAGATAGCACAGGGGAATGTGTGACAAAGATTTTCTGGATGGAAACATTTTGTTTTGATTGTATTATGGAATTTCCATAGATTTGATGTAAAGGTTTATACTTTGGGTATTGCAATATTAATTTTGAGTGTCATGCTATAATAATATTTTCTGTCAACAAACTAAATATACATAAAGAAAAAGAAATATATTCAGTCTCTGAATAGGACATCATATCATGAGAACTTATACTTTTGATATGTCTAGTAATTTTATAGTAATGCTGCAGGTGAAGTGTCACCAAAATTGTTTCCTAATGAAGCTTGGTGCATTTACCTTCATAGGAACTGGTTACTTCGTGAGTCTTTCCCTCCCTCTCCCATTCCCTTCCCTCTCCTTTCCAATCCTCCCCCCTCTCCCCTCCCTCCCTCCCTCCCTCCCTTCCTTCCTTCCTTCCTTCCTCCCTCCCTCCTATGTATCTCTACCATCTATTTATATATCCTGTCTGTTTGTTCATCCGTCCATCCATCCATCTCCCCCCTCCCTCCCTCCCTCCTTCCCTCCCTCCCTCCAGTGGATGTGAGAAAAAGAAGGAGACAACCATGCAGATACAGGCCTAAGGTTCCCATGGGGACAGAACAGAACCATGAAGAGACCAGGAGCAGGAGAACTGAAGCTGAAGTGGGGATCTGTTCTAGTAGAGAGGGCATGGTGGGCAGAAACGTAGTTGGAGACAGGAAGCATCTCAGATGTGGTCCTGAATACACATGGCAGTGTGCTTAGTGGAAGGGAGAATGTGAAAGAAAATTAAAGCTCACAGGGTTTGGTCTCTGAACCTGTAATTAGTCACAAGACTTTGGGAAAATTGACTTTTGGAATGTCTATCTCATTAGAAAACTTCAGATAATTTAGCCAATGAAGTTTATGATAGGTTGGGAGCTCTAGGCATGCTGCCTGGTACATGGGAGGGATTCAGTTAATCTTCATGGTTATAATAAAAGTAATCCATAGATCAAGGGAAATTAATAATAGACTGTATTAGTTACTTTTCTGTTGCTGTGACTAAAAACACTGACCAAAGAAACTTATAGAAGAAAGAGTTTATTTAGTATACTGTAGGAAACCAGGATGCTAGGTCCTAGGGTGAGGTGAGCCTAAAACTTATAGGTCCAGGATGCATTCTCTGCTAAAGGGAGGGGCACTGAAAACAGTGGCTCTGTTAATCCCTGTCTTGCAGAACACTGCTAGACTGGCAGGAGGAAGCGGCCTGGTCATAAAAGTGCAGGCTCCCTGCTCTGCGGTAAAGCGTCTTGGTCAACAACCCTTAACTCATCTCCTTGTCCTGAACAAATAACTCAGCTATCCTT